AGAGAGAGAGAGAGAGAGAGAGAGAGAGAGAGAGAGAGACTGGAGACCTGGGGACTGGGGGTGGAGGAACGCATGCACTAAATCAGATTTAGACAGAACAACTGGCTTTCTAAGGACATAGTTTCAAGGGCCACATTTCCCAAATCTGGTATTGCTTTTGGTGTCTGTTTTTCCTTCCTGCTTCCACAACGGGGGATGCAAACTTTGCTGTTTCCTTTCCCTGACCTGATCTTTTGATCAAAGAGACTATATAGCCTGGGTACAAAATCTTGACAAATTCTGGGTGGCAGTTAGGGAAGACACTCCTCTCTAAGTGTGGACCAGCCGCCTGGATGGCGTGGCAATAATGAAAAGGGTTTATTTGACCTCGGACCTCTTCCCCAGTCTGTCTCTTGGTTACACTGATCCTTAGTTTGGTACGTGTCAAAAGCTAAGGGAAGAACAACGACCAAAAAAGCAAGGCCAGGTAATGATACAGAACATGATGTTATTTCAGCTAGTGAGATCTGGACTCAATTCAGGACAGATGTTAGCAACCCTGGGCCCCTCCCACAGATCGGGGACTGGCTTTTCAACAGACGGAGGGACAGTAGCTGGTGTCTAGACAGCGGAACAGCTCTCCGCACCTCCAGGAGCATTGACGGTGCTCCTCCACCGCAGGGCCGGGCAATCTAAACACGAACAGCGAGAAGCTAAAAAAAAAAAAAAAGGGGGGGGCCTCCGGTTGTTGTCCGAGGGTTTAGTGGTTAAAGAAACGTGATTGACAAACATTGTTATCCAATCGAAACTGAGGACAGTGCATGACAGCCCAATCGGAGGGCGTAAAGGAGATCGACGTGTTCCCCACCCACCACGCTTTGCGTTGCCCGGAGCCACCGCAAACGTAAACTAACGAGGAGGAAGATAAGTGCTGAAAGAGCGAGTTTGATTGGTCTATCGTAAATCTTCTAAATGAAACCCTACTTGTGATTCGTCCAAAGTAGACCAAAGCCCCGGTGAGCTGAATGGAGTGCGAGACGTGAGCCCGGGTAAGGAACCTGAAGGCCTGGTGAGGACCAAATGCTCGGCCACGGAGGCCGGGAAGTCGAGGGCGGGAGGTGCGCGGACCCCCGCAGGCTACTCTGGCGGCTGCCTGGGATTGCTTCTTGGATCCCACGGTTCCCAGCTCCGCTGCGGGGAGCTGCTTTGTAGTGCGACCAGCGGACTGCCCTGGAAAAGGGGCAGGATCCCCTAGGGATAGTGGAACACCCTCTTTCTACAGCCAGGTGTCATGTTGGTGGTCTTTAGGCGGCCTGGCAGTTGGTTTTCCCCAGATTTGCGTGTGACTTGACCAACAAAAATGGAGGCATTAACCTAATGTTTTAAAGCCCAAACGAGAACGAAGGTTTTAAAGTAGAAAAAGTGTCAACACTCAGTCTCTTCGGTTTGTTGTTTTTTTGAGATGATCTTGGTGTACATCCCAGGCTGGCCTCAAACTTGTGATCCTCCTGCCCCAACCTTTTGAATGCTTGGATGAGAGGTGTGTGCCTCTACACCTGGCCATTCTAACTACTTTTGAAGGTTTGGAATAAACAACAAAGAAAACTAAAAGGGAAGCCAGGTGTAGCGGCACACAGATTCAGTCTCAACACTCAGAAGACTGGAGTGGGCGGATCTCTGTGAGTTCGAGGCCGGTCAACTCTACAAATTGAGTTCCAGGACAACCAGGGCTGTTACATAAGGAAACCCTATCTTAAAACAACAGCAATAAAAACAAAACAAACAGAAAACCAAGGAAAATCGCAGAGGATTTCTCCAGAAGGGTAATCCTGTCCAGTAACCTGTTGTTTTCAAGGACTTGGTTCTGAAAATTGGGGTACGGGTTAAGGTATCATCCACCAGAAGCCTTAATCTCCATGAACAGGAAGTTGTCATGTGACAGACCTAGGTTTCTCCCTTAAGAGTCTCAGCCTGGTGGGGAGCGCTGTAGTTCCCATCTTAGGAGCTCTGGATGCAGGACTTTCAGTTTTCCCTGACAACTGGTGAAAGGGCAGGGAGACCCAACCTTGGATGAAGGAAGAATGCAGGACACATATAGGCAGGGTCTGGAGAAACTTGACACCAATAAACCTCACAGCCTCCATCATAGGGAGAAAAACATCAGAACCCCTGGCCTTGACTTGTTCTTGCCACTGCTAGTCAAGGCATTTAAATGTACATAGATAACTTTTCCTACTCTAAGCTACCCGATTCAAATGGATTCACTATTAAAACTGTGTTGGCTAAGCCATCAGCTCTCCAAGGAAATTTGAATAATATTCTGAATCTTAAGTAAATAAATATTTTTGTTTTGATCAAATCTCACTAACAAAAAAGGCTTGGGGATGCACGAGGCCCTGGGTTCTGTCCCCAGCACCCCATGAACAGGGTGTGGTTCATACACCTCTAATCTTAGCATTGGGGAGATGGATGCAGGGGGAACAGAAGGACACTGGAGCTGAGAGAAGATCAGCTGTTCTTCCAGAGAGCTGAGTCCAGTTCCCAAGCTTAAAACCTCCTGTAACTCCAGTTTCAGGGAATTTCATTGCCCTCTTTGGCCTCAATAGACTCCTGCACAGACGTCACACACACAAGCATGCATGAGACCCTGGGTTCACACCTGCACAAATATCACACCCACTCAACCACACACCACATCAATAAAAAAAAACAAAAAACTCTAAAAGAACCCCCAAGAGAAGGTATAATTTGCTTATGAGACAATGACCTTCATTTTAGAAGGGTCTGAAGCTGTTTGTCCCTACACCATCAGTGTGGATAAAAGATCAATGTTTCTGGTGTTACCAGCTTCTAGGTGATAAGTTTGCTCACGTCTTCAGGTTATTGTGTCCAGAGCAGAGCAGCTAATCCTAACTGGACATTTCCTTCAAGGCGGTCTCACCAGCTCAGCCAGTCACACTGGTCACTTCTGCTGTACCTTTTGGCCCCTTTCCATTTCCACAGCTAAGACAAGTGTTCTTTGTGTGTTCCGTTTTGGTTTTGGCTTTTCAAGACAGGCTTTCTCTGTGTAGCCCTGGCTGTCCTGGAACTCACTGTGTAGACCAGGCTGGCTTCCAAACTCACAAAGATGTGCCTGTCTCTGCCTCTCAGTGCTGGGATGAAAGGTGTGAGCCACCGCCTCCTGGAGAGACAAGTTTTCTTATCTGAAGGATTCCAGTAGTATCCAAACTGATCACTCGCCAGTCTCTGTCCCCAAATCATGCACACCCTGATAAGGGGAACTGGTTCTAAGCAAGAGCTCTGTCACTCTGTCACTCTTCCTCCCCTTACCCGCCCCCCCCTTTGTTCCTTTTTTGATAACTTTATTTTCAAACAGCCCTACCACGTTGCCCATGTGGGCCTTGAGCTGGAAATTAATTCTTCTTCAGCCACCCACATAACTCGGATTATTGACCTGAAGCCACCAGACCAAGTTATCAGTTACTTTTTAAAAACTAAGAAGTCTTTGCTTAATTTCTTCGGACTGGAGAGATAACTCAGTGGTTAAAAGCACTGACTGATCTTCCAGAAGACCTGGGTTCTAGTCCCAGCGCCCACATGGTGGCTCACTGGAGTCTATAACTCCAGTTCCAGGGAATCTAAATCTTTACAGAGACATATATTCAGAAAAAACATCAATGCACATTAAATTAAAAAAAACCCTGAAAATTAAAAAAAGGTCTCCCAAATGTTTTAAAATTAGGGGCTGTTGAAATCTCTGATTTGGGTAATATAATACAAATGTTGTGCCTACCAGCCAGATTAGTAAATATTAGCATTCTGGCATTCTGCTTATGGTTTTTATTTTAAACAAACAAAGCATCACAGATAGTTAAAAATCCCTTCCATTCTTTGCTGGTCCATCCTGCTTTCCTCCCTCCCAGAGATGCCAGGATTGTAGTGTATAGTTTGTGCTCACTTCTTTTTGTTGTTGTGTTTTAGTGTGTCTTCCGGGTTGGTGCACTTGCATGTGTACACATGTGGAAGCAGAAGTTATCCTCAAGAGCTCTGTCATTTGAGACCATGTTTTCTATTGACCGAGTGTTTAATTCAGCCAGACTCGGGAGCCTCCCGTCTCTGCCTTTCCAGCACTGGAATTAGATGCATTTTTCAAATGGATTCCGTGATCTAACTCAACTCCTCCCGATTCCAGGGCAAGCGCTTTACTAACCGAACTGTCTCCCTATGCAGTACCCATACTGTTATACTCTTAATACATATGCCTCTGCCTCCCAAGTGCTGGGATTTAAGGCGTGTGCTACCACGCCTGGCTGGAGATTATTCTTTTAAGTCTAAAATATAAACCGTACGCTCTGGATTTCAGTTTACAGCTTCCGTGTATTTATTTACTTTTCCCCCAGAGCTTTGATTTTTATTACTTAAAAAAGCTCCATATTTATTTCCTTTCTGACTCTGTGCTTAGGCTTTCATCACTTTCCCGATTTCCTGCTTCTCAATAAGGAGGCACACTTGATCATGTCACGGACACGCTTAGCACACGTGGAACCAGGGTAGGCCCTGCTGGCGTACTTCTTTGTCTTAGACGATCTCATGTGGACTTGAGGTCTTACAGCAGGAACCTCAGGCCACATTCGGATTTAGGGCTTTCCCAGCCTTCTTGGTGCAGAGGTGAACTGTTGCCAGGGGCTCCAAACAGCCTAGTTTTGTTAGGGCTGTATTGTAGGAAAGCCTACGACAGTATTTCAGATGCTGGAGCATTCTGAGCACTGTTGTTGGGAGAGGGAAAAGAAAGAACGGTTATTTATATACTTACATATTTGTACATGTGCATTTGTGTCTGTGTTTGTTTTAGATAGGCCTCCCTGGCCTGGCACTAGAGTGCTTCCTGCCTCAGTTTCCCCAAGTGCTGGTGTTACAGACACAGGCCAGTGTTCCTGGGTTGCCACTTGCTTTTGTCACTCAGCGCTGCTTTTGAGATGGATTCATGTCAGTGTATGTAGAGCAAGTCCATTCATTTAAGTGTTCATTGTGAGACTATAGTAAATCCACCTGTCAGGTGTTGTAGCTTTTCCCCTCCCATTTTCCTATTGAAATTACAGTGAATGTCCTCATTTGTGTCTGCTTATATGAGAGTTTCTAGAATTTTGTGTGAACTTTTCAAAGGAGATGCATGTCCCTCGGGGACATATGAGGATTTGTGAGGCCATATTTAGCTATTATTGTGGTTGGAATACACCAGAGAGCTGAGAATGTTGGGTGTGTGATGTTGGAACAGGCCTCAGACAAAGAATTGCATCGTGTGCAACCTTCCAGTGTTCTCATTTTGTAATTATCTGGGCCTAGAACCTAACTCCATTTTTTGTGTGTGTGTGTGTGTTAACATAATGTAATTTTTGGCAGGGTTTAATAAAGTGTAATTTCCAGGAATGTAAATCAAGGGAGAATTATACTGATCTGTGGTTTGGAACTTGAACAAGACTTGTTCCCCAGTCTAGAAAGCTCGTGGGACTGAAGGGCAGCACAGCTCGTGGTATTTGAGCTGCCAGCACAACACACCTGCATCGTCTGCCTGTGGCGCTTTCGCACTCGTGGTGATTCTAAGTTTAGGTGCAAGCATCTGGCTACTGTACTTCATTATGTATTCTCGTGGAGTCAGCCTGAACATTCATATATTTAAGCATATGCTGTTTCATTATGAATTACTTCCACTCAAAATCGACTTCTGTCCATGCTGCGGAGTAGAGGTCGCGTTTGATTGTCCTCTGGCTTGGTAATCGTTTGTGTTACCACCACCGTGAAACCCTTCACACACCGGGCCACGAAGCCATCTTCTTCCTCGGGAGTATGAAGTTCTCGTGAGTGCACAGCTCTGAGTCCGGACTTCCCGCTTCCCGCTAGTGGTCCATGTGTCTTTGTCCCACTGTTTTAATTACCTTGTTTCATCATGTGTCTGCGGCAGTTGGTGACAAGAAAGGCACGTCGCCATTCCTAGTTCTCAGAGTGGTGTTGGCTATTCTCGGCTCTTTACTCTCCTGTGGGAATTTAGGATTCGTTTTCCAGTTCCTTAAAAAGGTATTTTTGGATTTTGGTTAGAATTGCACTGAATTTTTATGTTCAAGAAAAATTGAGTTTTTTTTTTTTTTTTTTTTATAATTAAGCCAACTCATCTAAAAGTATGAGTTACTTCTCTACACAGCCTGCTTTATCCCACTGTCCAGGTACTTTTAAAAGGCCTCTTCATGAAGTTGCATAATTTTAGCTATGAAAAATTTCGCAAATATTTGTTGTATTAAATCATACTTATACATGTATGCATATGCATACATATTTTTACTCTGCAAGTTTGAACTCCATTCAAATGTTTAGAAGATAGTGAAGCCAACATCTACTCACCTGTCACTCAGCTTCAAAGAGCTAGCTCAGGACCAGTCTGTTTCACATCAGCCCCTCGTGCCCACGACCCCCTCCAAAGAACATGAAATGCCCAGGCATAATGTTCTGCTGTCTGCAGTGCGTCATGTGTGTCTGTGCAGATTCATGTGTCATAAAGAATCTATACCATTTCTTTAATTTTAAAAAGAATCTATACCTTTAAAATACTATATTTCACTTAAAAAATTGAAAAGGTAACAGTCATGATTTCATTAACCATCCAGTGACGGTTGAATCGTTTCACAAAAGGGTTTTGTAGCTAAGTGTAAGACAATAGAAAATGGCATGAGCCCCAAGTATCTGTGGCTAGATACTGATTACCAAAGTTACAAAGTCAGGTAACCATCGCCCACGTCAAAAACCAGTTTTATCATCCGTGCCCCATCCAGTCACTCAAGATATGCTGGAGCAGTCGGACCTGTTTTTGAACATCATATAATTGGAGTCTCCCAGGAACTTTTTACTCTGTCCCTCGCATAATGCTTGTGAAGTTCACCTACATCGCCGGATGTGATTGTAATTTACTCATTTGTATTGCTTTATACTGTCGTTTGTATGATTGTACCCATAGTGCTCTGCATCTTTACAGACTGCCAGTGACTTTTTGGCTATCTGCTAGATAAGTGGAGATATTTTGTTTGGTTCTATTTCCATTTTCCTGGTGGCTATGGACCTTTACATATCTTGGCTATTCAGCTATCCTCTGTATAAAGTTTATTCTCATTTTTTCCTCTGATCTATTTCTGAAATCATAGCAGAATCCATTCATTTCAGTTTGCTAGTTAGTGTTGTGGTGCTTTTGTCTGTTTTGCCTGTACACTTCGAGTCTTTTTCCGTTAGGTCCATATTTCCTTCAGGTTACATCTTTTTTGGCTAAATTATTCCTTCCAAAACTGTTTTTTTATATTTTCGTATCTTTACATATATTTTATTGTTACTAATGTTGCTTTTTATTTTGTTTTCCCCACCTGTGGCAAACCACACAAGAAGAAGTTGCCCATCCTAAGCATTTGAAGCATGTGGTTCGGTAGAGCCCGGTGTTTACTTTACTGGGAAGCAGATCTCCAGAACTCCTCCTGCAAGACTAGAACTCTGTGTTCGTTGTCATTGCTCCCATTTCCTCCTTTCCCTGAACTGGCTTTGCTGGTGTCTGCCTTGTATGTCTTTTTCCCATTCAGGTTTCATCCTCTCATTGGATTTTCTGTCACTTTTGTAAAGAGCTACTTTTATTTTTTTAAATCCAGAATGAGATCTTTCAACAGTCAGGTCTGGGGTGCTTACATTTATGATGAGTCCATGATTATTGCTGCAAAGTAAATATAAAATAAAAATTTTATAATCTGTGAGGTACAGCGGGTTGCACCTAGGGCCTCACTTGCGATAGGCACGTGCTCTACCGTTGACCTGCCTCTCAACCTACTTCATATTCATTTCTTCTTTAAAAGTCTGTGTGCTGGTTGGGTGTCTGTTTGTGTGGGTGTGGGCACGTATGTGTGCAGGTGTATATGCAAGTGTGTGGTGGAAGCCCGAGGCCAATGCCAGGTGTCTTCTTTGATTGCTTCTCCACCTCGCCTTTCAGACAGGGTTTCTCACGGAACTGGAGTCCACCAGCTGGCTAGACTGACCCGCCGGTGAGCTCGCCGTCCCTCATTTGCCCACACCCAGTGCTGGGGTCACAGATGGACACCAGTGCTTTTACATGAGTGCTGGCGACTGGGACTTGGAGCCTCGTGCTTGTGCAGCAGGCACCTTGCCAACTTGGCCACCTCCCCAACTCCCTCACGTTTCTTCTCCACGGAGCCTTGCCTGCCTGCTGAGTGGTGTCCCCAACAGCGACTTCATTTTAGTCTGGTGGGGAGCCTGGAGGTTTCTCACTTTTATTGTGGTTTCTGTAGTTAATTGTAGTTAGTTATATTTATCGCAGCTATTTATTTAGTTGCAGTCTTTATTGTAGTTATACTGTAGTTTACTGTAGATGGGTCTTTCTTTGGGTTGCCAGCTCACAAAATAATGCTCAGTGTCTCCTGGAATCTCCTCCTCCTTCTCAGCATCTTCGCTGCCCAGAAATCCTGCCTAGCTAGTGGCCATTCAGGTTTTTATTAAACCAGTCAGAGTGACACAGCTTCACAGTGTACAAAAAGATTGTTCCGTAGCAGTTTATTGTAGTTAGTCTCTCGATTAGGAATTCCATACAGCGTGAGTGTGGAACCTGACACTCTGCCTGCCGGTAATGCCGGCTTAAGATTCGGAATTCTGTCTAGGTGGGGTTTTTGGTTTTTGGGATTTTTTTTTTTTTTTTGGCTTGTTTGTTTGTTTGTTTTGCCATCACCTGAGTCATTTGGCCTGCTTGCTTCAACTAAGTTCTTAATAGATTTTTCAGAGTCTATTCAAGCATTTCTTGTCCCTTACACATTGTCCTCCTTGGTTCTAGTTCAGTGCACCATGGGCCGAGGTCTCACAGGAGGAGCCCTCCTAGGCCTCCATCTCCACTCGGGCCACTGTGGACTTTGAGCTCAGCCCCTGCCTGACGATCTGGCTTTGGGTGTACATTAAATTCAGAGCACTTCAGAATGCTGCCATTTTACATATTGAGGTTTGCCATCACTTCCACCGTTCTGTGAGGCTCTCCCCTCGTCAGCCCGGTGCAGTGTGTTAACCAGCGGTTCCCATCATCTTTCTCCACCTTGCTATGACCTTATGAATTCTGCAGACTGGCCAGCTGGATTCACTTATTCCTCAGCAAATATTTGTTGCACTTAATCTTTATCCTAAAAACTGGGGACAGCAGGGAGGAAAAAAAACCAGTTTCTGCCCTCAGGTGGTTTATTATCTTAATCAGAGAGACAGAAAGTGAACTTGTAAACAAATTAATAGAAGTGGTAGCCACGGAGGCTGAGGCGATAGTTCAGCAGTAGAGTATTTGCCTGGCGTGTGAGAGCCTGTGTTATTACCTATACTTGGTGGAGAATGCTCTAAGAGAGACAGAGAGACAGAGAGAGAGAGAGAGAGAGAGAGAGAGAGAGAGACTGACTGACTCTTTTGAAAGTTACTATAGATGGGAAGTCAGGGACGGGCTCTCTGAGAATGATGTTCTTCTGATGAAGCTACAATATCAATAATGAGGAGAGGCCAACCCTGTCACACAAGTAATCAAATAGCAGGTACCTTGCTGGGGCCTGATGGTTGAATTCTGCCTGTGGAAAGAGCAAATACCAAGTCCCAGAGATAGGGAAGTACTTCCCTTCCGCAGTTACTGATATGGTAATCACAGGGCTCTACCGAGGAAGGACAGAGGCAAGTGGGAGCTCCCTCTGCTCCACCACCCTGCCACTGATTTCTTCCCAAGTGTGCTAGCACTGGCTTATCCCTTAACCTTCTCACCATCCCAGCTCGTGATACACTTTGCTTCTGCTGCAATATAACATGAATATAACATGAATAGCTGTTTGCATCACATTGTGCCCTAATAGACCATCAGCTTCTGCTAGGTGTTGTATCTTTTTTTACCTTTGTCATCCGAACTAGGAGCACAGTGTTTTCAACAGTGGTCACAGCACAGTGTTGATTGAATAAACTTCTTTTCTTTTCTTCTTTTTCTTTTTTTCCAGTTCATGCTCAGAGCCTCGTTTCCAGTAAGCTTACAACGGAAAGCCCCAATCTATTTCCATTGTGTTTAAATCACCAGGTAAAGAAACCCAGAAAGCTAAGGAAGACTCTGTTTTCTTAAGATTTGTCTCTGATACTGAGAAGGAAACTCAAGGAGGTGCTCTAGATGGCGTTCCCTCATTAGTGGAGTGATAGCGCCCACCAACAGATGTCCACACCTAACTTCTAGCGCCTGCAAATGTGATTTTATTTGGCACACGGATCTTTGCACGTGTGATTAAGGACTTTGTCTAGTGATAACAGGCAGACAAGAAGACAGGGGAAGTGTCATGTGGAGACAGGAGACACGAGCCAGGGAAATCTCGGGGCTACCAGAAACAAGAAATCATCTTCCTTTAGATCCTGTAGGGGGGTGTCACCCTGCAGAAGCTTCTGTTGTTCCTCTGGTCTCGAGAACTGAGAGCGAATCCCTCTTGTTGTGAGCCTCAACTAGGAAACCAAGACTGACTTGCCTCTTGTATGGCTCACATGTGATAATACGTTTCTGATTGCCATGACTGAACACGCCAGGTCTGGTAAAGCACATAGCATATCGTAAGTGCCCCAACAGGTGACATCTTCTTTCAGGGACTGGGAGTTTTCTTCCTTCTGCGAATAAGAACTTGACACAGAGTGGAAAATTCTGCCTTGTGATTGTCTGCTGTGTCTAAATTCATACCTCAGGTTTAGCCAAAGTTTCAGCTTCTGCATTGGCTCTTCAGCCTTCTGAGAGCCCCTGGTTAGGATCTGTGAATGGAGAGAGCTCAGATTTCTAATGTGGGCTTGAGTAGAAGTCAAAATGGAACAGAAGAGACCAGATTTGAAATAACAGCCCGAGAGCAGACAGCAGCCTCACCCCAGCCCCCAGGTCCCCCACCCCTATTCCTGCGCAAAGAAAGCTCTGGGCTCCACATTCTCGGTTTTCATTAAGGGACTCTGGGCCTGGACATTCCTGAAAATTAAAGACCCGTCGTGAATGAGCCTCCAGACATACTGGTCATCAGGATTCCTCGTAGAATTAGGCTTTCTGTGTCATCGAACGCTAGGCACACACGAGGGGGGGATGGTCCAGCCAGAGGCTGATGCTGCTCTCTGTCCTATAGGATGACGGGCATGGTGCTGGGAGTGGGTGCTGGCGTGTTCCTCCTTGCTCTGATCTGGGTGTTGGTGCTGCTGCTGTGTGTGCTGTTATCCAGAGCCTCTGGGATCGCTAGGTAAGGCATTCTCTCCAGCCTGGAGTCCTAGGTAAAAGCAATTAGAGGCAAAAATCGCTGATGATCATTAAACATTTAGAATTCAGAAGATCATTTTTGTAATTACTGGCAGTTTGAATGAGTTGCATTTTAACCTCTTATCATAAGCGCTAACTGTGTTATTTATGCTCAGGCGGAGGTGGGAGGAGAACGGGAGTGAGTCTCAGTTCTCACTGTGGAGGGGAGGAGGGAGACCAGAGGTGACAGGAAAATCTGCTTTGGCTGCTGTTGAGGTCCTTGAGAGTTGTAGGTGGAAGTTTGGTTTAATTGTTCAGATTTATGACACGTGCCTGGTCCAGTCCCTAAGGCTCCAGCCTGGGCCCACAGACACAGAAGTTACAGAGAGTTGGCCTGGACCTCTGTTCGAGCCATAACCTAACCCTAGAGACACTAGAAATGCGCTCTCTGGGGGGGGGGGGGTCATGTCAGCAATAAATGGAGAGCTACACTGTTTACTGGGGGTTCTGATCTGAAAAGAACAAAAGTGTGTGGGGATGGGGAGGGGCGTGTTTGTGAGCACGCGCACTCGTGAGCACACACACTGTGTGCAGAAAACTATGAATTCCCATTGTTCGGAATTTGGAATTACCAGGAACAAATAGGGAGGTTTCCAGCTGGTACCCATCTAGGAAGCATGGCTTTGGGGTGGAGGACTTTGTGGACCTTAAGGGACTGAAACATGTTGACTCCAGGGAGGAACCAGCGCAGGCCCAGACGATGAAAAGTTGACTGTGGTCAGTGCTTTTGATGCTCAGGTTTCTGTCCCCAGGTTCTCCATCGTCTTCGTCTTCCTGGGTGCTCTGATCATCACTGCAGTTCTATTGCTTTTCCCTCGAGCCAGTGAATTCCCAGCCCCAGAGGTGGAAATGAAGGTAAGGCTAGTGGTTTCACTTTCGCCCCTATTCGGGGATTTCCCCATCCTGCCCTGAGACCTGTTCAAACAATGATGGGGTTCCCAGGGCGTTGCAAGGTCCCTGTCCCTTTACCCTGGGAAAGGGTCTGAGGACTCCCACCTGTAGCTCCACCAGGCAATGATTTACCCATTGTACTGTTGTTTGCTGCTTGCATGGAGTTGAATGGCAGTGTGGAAAGCCACTCCTTGCTGTGGAGACAGAAAGAGAAAAGAGTTCGGAACTAGGAACTGGCGTAGGCCTTAAGTGTGGTGTCCCTGTCCTTGGTTCAGAGTCTTAGATCATAAGTCAGAATTGCGAAAGTGTTCTCAGGGTGCTGAGTGACATGATTTTCCGTCCTCTGAGGTTGACTCTTTCCACTTGTGGCGTCGAGAGTCATTTCCACCAAGAAGAGCGGGAAAGAGGACACAGAAGGGGACGTTGCAGATGAGTTCTGTAACACTGATTTTGACATCCTTATCCCTTAGACCACATAAGCTGGCCCCTCCCTCTGTAAATCGATTTGTGTCACCTCTCTCCTTGTCCCATTTCTGCCAGACCTCCCCTCTTCTAGTTTGTTTCTGATTTGGATCCCCGGTTCTGCCGTGTGTGGGCTGGTCTCAATCCATAGGCTCTTGCCAAGGGCACTGGCCTTTTCTATCCCATTGCGTCTTCCTGTGGCATTGTTTTCTCTCAGTAGCTATTTTAATTTTGAAGGAAAAAGCATGATAGTGGCCATCATTTCTTAAAGGGCTACTATATGCTAACTAAATGCCTTGTTTACATTGTCTCATTGAAACCACACAATTCCCAACGGTATGAGGGAGGTCCTGCTCTCTTTCCGGGGAAGAGGTTCAGGTGACCTGCCCGAGCTGCCCGAGTTGACACTGTCCAGGAAGAAGCAGAGCAAGGACTTAAGCTGAACTCTGTTCTCAACATCTTCAAACTCGTTAGAACTCAACAGAGTATCAGACTGTTCTCCAGATCTGACAGGTTGTCGATTTGATACAGTCCACAAAATTACATAATTTTTGATGTAAAATGAACACATACTTCCAGTTCTCCCTAGAATTAATGATGGTGAAAGGAGGAAAATTAGTTCTGGAAACTCTAAGGAAAATTGTGCTTACCACACAGATTCCAGGAGTTGCTCCCCTGGGTGTCAGGCTCTCTCTACACCCCGGGTGTCTTTGTTTTCAGGGGAAAGAGTGAGGTGTGCTGCCATGTTTGTAATCACTGCAAATGTGACCGCTAGCACAGGCACGAGCGAGCACTCTCTCTAAACCAGTCCCTCTATTCTGTCGTAGGAGTTTTGGACTCAGGAGACAACGGGGACTGAGCAAAATATGTTTGTCAGCATGGCCTGCAGAATCGGAGTTCTCATTTTCAGGTTCTGAGCGCTGGCCCCTGCAGCAGCCTGGCTCAATACTGTATCAATAATACATGGCCTGGGCCTTCTGCACCCAAGGCCTGCTAATTGGCTAATTAAAAAGTGAAACAGTCGAGCGAGCAAACATGTAGCCCGCAAGAGACTTGTTCAGTACCAGAGCCAAGGTCAAAGTTATGTTAAAGCTGTTTTTATCAAACTGACCTTGATTGTAAGTTGACTGTTGGGGTAGTCTCTGGAGCAGCTGGGGTGCTTCTTGATGTCTTTGGAGCTCGTTTGTATCACTGCTTGGATTGTTGAGGAGCTTTGTACACCAACACTGTATTAGCGCTCTGTTGCTGCTGTAACAAGAGCCTGCCTGCCAATGGAATGGTTCCCAGCATACATGTATTGTCTACAGTTGTGTGGGTTAGAAGTGCACCCTCAGTCTCCCTGAGTTAAAGTCAAGGGTGGGCAGGGCCATGCGTCTTCCCAGTGTTTCTGGAGGAATGCCCATTTCCTGACCTCTTCAGCTGTAGAAGCTGCTGCTAGTGCCCAGCCCATGGCCTCCATCTGTAGTCATCTTCAGAGCCAGCAGCCACCAGTGTCACCTCTCTGGCTGCCTCTGTCCCACTTTCTTTTCGCGAACCTGTTTTCTGCCTCTTCTTTCATTTTGTTTTGTTTCTTAAGACAAGACTACGTAGCTTCGGTTGGTCTGGAACTCTTTGGAGATCTCCAAAGTGTGTCCAGTTTTTAAGGAGTCTGTTTAAGTTGGGCCTGCCTGGATTGGATAATCCAAGCTTATCTCCTACTTCAAGGTCACAACCCTAATGCCACTGTCGTGCAGTCAGTGTGTTTCTAGGGGTTAGGAGCTCCGGGCCTTTCTTTAGGCTGTGACGGTTACTGTCAGGTATTTGGGAACCTCTCCTGGAAAGGAGTTCCCATGGCTTCTGTGAAGTTAAGCACTCCGTTGGATGAGGATATCTACGTTCCCCACCCATTTAAATACCACCGCTTAGCTCTGGGGTGAAGAAAAGAGCTCTGTTCTCTAGAAATGGACAGCAGGCGACTGGGTAGAGCCAGGACCAGAAACAGATTCTTTTATCAACAAAGACCAGTAGAATTAGGACTTCACATATGACTGGTTACCAAGCAACCAACTGTATGTATGGGGCAAATTATGTATCCTTTTAGTGTTTTAATATCTTAGATAAGTGGCCACTTTCCTCGCTCCCATGCAATTAGGGTTCAGAACTCTTCTGATGGAAGCTCCAGTCACCTCATGTTGAAAGCCACCCTTTCTTCTAAATTAAGCCATTTGTTTCCTGTGCCTTATTATTATTAGTTGTTGTTGCTCCCCCCACTTCTTCTTTAAAAATCTTGTATCTTCTACTCAAGGAGCTGAAAATTTTTGTGCTCATATGCAGAGGGAAACAGGGCAGGATGCTACTAGAAGTTACCAAGAAACCGTGGGCATAACCATCAGCTCTCAGAGGAGCGCAGGCAGGGTGCTGGAGTGGGGGTGATTCCATCAGCTCTCAGGGGAGCGCAGGCAGGGTGCTGGAGTCGGGGTGATTCCATCAGGGGTGTGCAGGCAGGGTGCTGGAGTGGCTGTGATTCCCTTTTGATTTCTTCTGTCTCCAGATTGTAGATGCCTTTTTCATTGGCCGCTATGTCCTGCTGGCTTTCCTCAGTGCTGTCTTTCTGGGAGGCCTCTTCTTGGTTCTTACTCAACATGTGCTGGAACCAATCTATGCCAAACCACTGCGGTCCTGCTGAGTGCTGTACTGGAAACATGGGACGTTTTGATGTCCTGGATTAGCACAGAGGCGCGCTCCAGAGCCTTGATGACAGCCTTCATGTCTTCAGACCAGTGGAGTGTCCGTTTGCCACTAAGACAAAGCTCTTGAGCCCCGGCTTTCAGAAACTCAGCAGCAAAGCAGACTCCGTGGGCAGAGGTTGTCACTGTCTGAAGACGGATACGACTGACTGTCCAGTACCCATACTGCAGGATTCCTGTCTGTTTTGAATGGAAAGTGGTAACTGTGATCTGCTTGGGGTAGCTGTTAAGTAAAGCCATCAGTCGTAGATCTGGGGAGAAGGAGTTTGAGGGTCTGTTGGCCAACAGAAGAGCCTGGTCCCTGTTGATAACATCGAAGTTATAAGTTTTTAGTTGAATATTTGGAGCCATGTGAAGGAGAAAGGCGTTCGGACACAAGGGCTGCTTTACCGCGACAGTTGGGAAGTTGTGTCGGGCAGAGGTTTTTGACCACTCCTTATGTGATTCCACAGAGCTCTATAAAAGCAGTGTGTGGCATTTGCCTGAGTCCTAATAAAGCAATAAACAATGACCACAGGGCTTTCTCTTCAAACTCCTGCCTACAGCTTTTGTATATTTACATTTTGAGTTTGCTTAGATGTTAAAAGAGAGAGAGATACGGGAATGTTAGGTGTCTCCCTGCTGCGTATCTTGGGTCTTCTTCTCCCAGGGTTTGGTGGCCTCTCAATGCCTAATTTAAGTATTTAGTATCATGTAAGAGTCCTCAAGCCGGGTGCTGGTGGCTCAGACAGAGGCAGGTGAATCTCTGTGAGTTCAAGGCCAGTGTGGTCTACAGAGTGAGTTCCAGGACAGACTCCAAAATTTTTCCTTTGGCAGTATTGGGAATTGAACCTAGGGTTTCACACATGATAGGTAAGTATTCTACCATCCTACCCTTCAATTCACTTTTTATCTTGAAGAACAATTGTACTAGTTTACCCAGGCTGCCTTGAACTTTCTTTCCCTGTACACCAGACAGGCTCTGGACCTGCCGTCCTGCCTTAGTTTGCCAAGTCGCTGGGGATTTAGGCCTGAACCATCGGGCCTGGCTCTTTTTATCTTGTTCATCTATTAGTTGGTTGGTTGGTTCTTTGAGGCCGGGTCTCACTAGGGATCCTGGGCTGGCTTGAAAGCCATCTTGAGTACTAGAATTTCAGGTGTGCCCCAACATGCCTACCTCTCTCTTTTCATCTTGGGAATGCTTTCTCCAAAGTTAGTAAGGAATGTGTATTCTCAGCATTATAACTTTATATTTGTCTAATTTCCCAGATCAATAAAATTTGTCACTAAATGGGCTGGAGGGTCTAGTCTGGTTCTGCTTTGGAAGTGCCGCCCTGCCTGTCTCCAGCAGAGTAAAGAGAAGCCTTCTAGTCTGAGAGGCAGGAGAACAAGCTGGAGAGGTCAGTGCCTGCTGGATGCTTGGGCTGCAGCGATTCCTTTGAGACTTCAGTTTTATAGCACTCTATTTATTATGATTGCTCTTCTTTCTAAATAGAACAATCCTGAGGTTTAAGGCTTCCCACAGCAGCCAGTTGGCAAGCCTAGGTGTGGCAGAATCCAGTCTCTCACAGTAGAGGACCCTCTGTGGTTGAGAACTTGAGAGAGGGTAGGGTCGCTTCTTTTTCCTGTCTCTCCTGATACTGTTGTCAGGGAATAGGAAAACCCATTCCTACCGCCTCATGGAGCTCAGCCTCAGACCGCGGAGAGTCAAGGCTGGTGGGGACCAGGCACAGTCGTACCTCCACTTGGACTGACTCCATTATCTTTAACTTTGGGGAAACTTTCCAGATCAGGTTTTATTTGGAAACCTTCAAATGAAATTGATTCTTAGTCTGGCCTAGGGCCCATGGGGAAGAAATAGAAAACATTGCTCTGGCAATGGAGGGGAGAAGGGACCATGTGGAAACTGTGAGGGAAGCGGGCAGTCTGAAGCTCAGTCTCCCTCACAGAGTGAGGGTGCCTGTGGCCTGTGGCCTTCCCAGGGTGCCTTAGCCAACAATCACAGACTGCTATGTGCCATGTGCCTTCTCCCAGGAAGCTTGCTGCCAAGGCAACTCTGGAAGGAGGGGCTTATAAATATTCCTGAAAATGAATCTATCTCTCATTCCTTTGTGAAGGTGTCCAACTAGATCCAAAGAGAGCAGAAGTATGTGGGGGCTCTGATCCCCAATCTAGCTCATAAATGATTTAGGGTCACTGCTTCAGGGGGAGTAGTGTTACAGTAGCAATCAAGGCCCTTTGAGAGTAAACTTCGGTTTAAGAGAATGGTATCTCTGGTCTGAGTAGAGACCTGACATCCCAGCTGGGCTGGGTCAAGCACCTGGCCAAGGGATCACCCCTAGGACAACAGGTTCACTTCAGCCATAATACAGAGATAGCTGCAGCTGGGCGGTGGTGGCACACATCTTTAATCCCAGTCCTTGGGTGGCAGAGGCAGGCAGATCTCTGTGAGTTTGAGGTCAGCCGTGTCTTCAGACCGAATTCCAGGACAGAGGCTCCAAGCTACACAGAGAAACCCTGTCTCGAAAAACCAAATAAATAAATAAATAATAAAATCAAATAAAATAAGTAAAAAAATAATAAAAGACAGCTGGAATGAAGATCCTTTTTGTGAGATACTAAGGTCTCCTCACCTTTCTAAGTACTAACTCAGAAAGAGGCAAATGTTTCTTTCTCCTCTTTCTTTCAGATATTGGTCAGAACCTAAGTGTGCTTTTTCTAAGTTTGGGCTTCCTTGCTTCTTTCTGTGAAGCCACTGCCCTCCCTGCCAGTCCTGGATGAATGTGGCTCTCACAGAGCCTTGTTCTTCTGCATGCTCCTCCTCCAGGCGGCTGCCGAGATCAACAGCCTACCTAGCCTGCAGTTTGGGGTTTTCAATCCTAATAAAATTGCCCTTGAGCTTAAAAATAAAAACCTACACAATCAGGACTGGGAAAAGGGCCAATTCCCAGCAACCCCTTGGTGGCTCACAAGCCATCTGTAGTGGGATCTGACGCCCACTTCTGGTGTTCGTGAAGACGGAACACTTGTGGACCTAAAATACATGAATAAATCTTTAAAAACTACAAAAGTAAAACAATAAAAGGTGTCTATAAAGTCAGTAGATAGTAGCTGTGAGATTTCAGTTATCTACATAAGAATTTGGTAAAAGTGAAGAAAAACAAAAGCCTAAATTCCTTCCCAGGTATCATCAACATACAACTGTTTACAAATTGGTGTAAATGACAGGCTTCCATATTATAGCCGGCTGTATACAATGTAGACACAAACACCCGTGTGTGCCCATGTATCATATAAAGTATTTAAACTTGGCTTGCCTTCTACAGTTCCTGTCTGTAATAACTAGCATGGTGAAGTGAAACTTTCTTCTTACATACTCAAGGTAATCATGTCCATCCTTAAAAAAAAAAAACAAATAACGAGAGCAAAAATCCAGAAGTGGAAGGCTGAATGAAGCAATGACGTCATTCGGAGACATCACCATGGGGCACCCTGCAGTGACGCCTGATGCATCCCTCCTTATGGAGACAGGGCTGGCGTAGGGCTAGCCCTCATCAACCCAAACGACTCCAGTGTCCACTAGCCGTTCTCTGTACAAGGCAGGCCGTGCTGTTCGTTCACTGTCCAGAAAGACACGATTCCCTGCTGTTCGGAAGGTGGAAGGGAGAGGAGGTCTATGAGAGAACAAGTCGTTCCATGGCCTTCCAGGACGGCATCCTGACGAGCTAAAGTAGCAGGACCTACCAGCTCCATTACAATAGAGTCTTTGTCCGGTCAGTTAAGTGATAGCATGTAACACTTTAGAAATAACTCAAACCAGCAAAGCATACGGAGTAATGTTTTGATAAGCAACTTAGATTTCTCACTGGTTTTTAAAAAAAGGGGGGGGGGCATATTCTTTTCTGATCTAGAGTTTCAGATAATTAATGTTAAAGTGTGTCAGTGCTCAGGCACTGGGAACACAGGGTTTCCTTCACCATGTAACACAGTCTGCATGCACCTCAGCACTCTGAGTGCTGATAGAGCGAGGCAAGGGAGGACCAGGATGGAGGAATCCAAGGTATGTTAAACGTTTTTATTCTAATAAATTAATCAGTTTCCCGTTCTGCTCTTCAAGACCTAAACTTTTCCATCAACTCAGCTGCGTTGCTACTGAAGTGCTTCTGGTTATCAGTGTGGAAAGAGCTGTGCTGTGACCTCACAGATGAGACACAGGCAGAGAAGACGGGCTTGCAGGCCAGTAGGAGAGACTCTCAGACCTCATGCTCCCACTCCCCATGCATTCCTTGCATCTGGTGTCTCAGCTTCAAGGTCAACTTTTGCTTTCAAATAACTCCTTAGTTTTACACTGGCCCGCCGTTTGCACCCACCCTTCCCCTAACTCACAGCTATGAAGTTCTTTGGAACTGCTAACGGTGATAAGAACAGTGACCAACATGACAGTCCAGCCTTTGACATAACCGGATGCGACAGATACAGAAAATACCTGGAAATGTGTTGGCTATCCTAAATGGACTGGCTCACCAGCAAATGCGTAAGCTTTGCTGGTTGGCTAGCAAGCCCCAGGGATCTCCCTGACTCTAGCATTGGTTTATATCTTAGCACCATGCTTGGCCCCTGGTTACACCAGTGATGCGTATGCATTTCCCCCTGCTTCAGGGGACTTAGAGCAGTGTGCATGCATCACCACTGCACAGGGCTAAGGACAGCACTATAGAGAGATCCTAGGGGAGAATCTGTTCGCCTCTTTTCAGCTTCTAGAAGTCACCCACATCCCAGGGTTGATGGGCCCTTCCTGTCTTCAAAGTCAGCAGTGTAACATCTTCCAGTCTCTTCACCCCTGCCTCACTGGCATTTATAGAGAGCCCTGTGGTTCTATTGGGCCTGCTGGACAAACCATGTCAAGGTCCCTAATCTACTGTCTTGGGTTCTAAGAAGTAGGATGTAGACATTCTGGGCAGCATTATACCTACTATAGAATAGGGCCCTGTTTCCTAGCTGTAACAATGGCCTCCTCTACAACCACAACTCCCTTCCTCCCACTGCCTCGTGGACAAGGTCTCGGGGCTCCTGCACTCACCCTCCCCATGCTCCGTCTGCTTTAGTTCCCTCCTCACACCTTCAGTGGGACCCCCAAAGTGCTCAGCTCTACAAGAGGCACTTTTCCTTCCACCTCCTCCTCCCCCCACACCCCTTCTTATACACACTAGCCCAGCCTCCCAGTGGATCTCTAAAGGAGAAACACAAAGAGTTATTGCCTTTTAATTACACGTGCTATTGTAGCATCTATGAGGAAGAACATTTTAAGCTTAATTGAGACCAAATGTGAAGTTAAATTAAACGAATAACTAATTAACGTAATGTTCCTGCATTAGCCCCGTGTGAGCGCAGAGGCCTGAGAGGAGACAGGTACTGAGCCTCTGGTGAACAGACTGTGCCCAGAACTGGGATGGGCGGCTGGAAGGGGTTGCAGAGAACCTAGCCTGGCAAGTGAGTGCGAAAGGGTACATCTGGGGAGGGGGTGTCCTCCAACCTTTGCGATTCCCCCCCAGCGTATACCTGCAGCCTAAGCCCTCATTTCTGAGGCCCTGCTCTGGGCTCCCACAAATCTGCCGACGCTTTCTAATGTCTCTCTTGTCTGCCTGGAGTGCACGTGTCTGTTCAGGCCCGGCTCCTCATGCCTCACCTAGGAAGGCTTGACAAGATTCGCGTGAGCATCCACTGCCTTCCACCTCTCACTGCCTTGTCATACAAAGCCCATGAATTCTTCCTTCAGAAGCTGTCCCATTGAAGCTACCAGGCTCACCCCTATGGGCTGTCCATCAGGTCTGGACTGATGACTGGCGTAGCCCTCAACTTTTTGGCTTGTGTTGTTTATTATTTTCCTGTTCTGTGTTAAGGGCAGCGAGTGTGACCAGCACTATCTCCTTTCACATCAGTGCTGTGGGCCAATGTTATTCCTGTTCTAGATGAGGAAACAGAAAGTAGTAAATAATGAGGCTGGGAGGGGCAAGACCTCCAAGCATCCCTCCTGAGGCACTGACCTTCAAGGAACGGTGGGGGGGAGCACAGGCTTCCTTCTCTGGAACAGAATGGCACCGCCTGCCCACCCAAGACTCTACCATGGGATGGTGTCACCATCTAGTGGTGTTTAGGAGTAACATGGCTTCGCCTTAAGTTTGCACCTTCCATATAGTATTAGTTAAAATTCTTTATAGAAAGATTGCGTGACTACTGAGTAAAATACCATGTGTCGGCCCCTGCCCTTTACCAGGTCTTGAATATAAGAGGTTCCTGGCAGATTGCTCCCTGCAGAATCAAAGTGAGGATCGGGCATATGAGCTTTATACTTTAACACACCGACCAACACAGCCTTCTAGTAAATGCAATGTTTGTATCTTTGGGGTGCGCTAGACTCCTGCTGTGTTGCACGTGTTATCAGTGTCGCGAGTATGCCCTCTGGGAATGGCAGCTGTCACAGCAGCCCTAGAATACCAATCTCTCTGGTCCTGCGACGCCTCTTCACTGCCCCTCATGAGCCCCAAGGCTGCTGCTATGCCAGGCCCCACCATGGATAAGCACAGGCACAATTGGCAAAAACAAATCTGTATTGGCACTGATGGGCAGCTTAGAGGTCAGGCGGAAATGCCAGGAGTCAGCCTGGCATGTCGTGATCCAGGACTCAGAGTGGAAAGAGCACGGGCATCAAAACACTAGGCAGGAGGGTGGCTGCAAGATGGCTCCAGGCAGCCGCTCTGTAGCGGCCACTTGGCTGAGTCAAGCGTCACATTCGTTTCTTGCTAACTGTGATGCCTATGCTCAGTGTTGAGTCATTCTCGTATCCACTGTCCTGTTCATCCCTACAGGAGAGCTGCCATGCGGTGGGCACCCAGTGCTTAACACACACTGGCATTTTCGGTTGTGCCCAAAGCCCCTTAGTCTTCACAGCACTGACCCAATGTCTTCATCCACTGAGGCAGCTTCAGGGTGAGGCAAGGGAGGTACTGGACTCTGAGGATGGGGATGCTCAGGAGCCAAGAGCGAGTTCCCCTCCATTCAGTACTCGTGGCAGCCCCCTTGCTCCACTCTGGCCTTGGCTCTGCGAGAGCAGTGCTGATGCTTCAGAGTGGCTGCGTTACCAACAGGACCAGTGGGGGATAGAGAAGAGGGTCTTGCTTGGGGAAATACATCAAGACCAGTCGATGGGCAAAGGAACAGAGAGGCCCAGCACCTTTGAAACAAGGTGAGAGGCCCCCATAGGTACAGACCAATTACAGAGATTATAATTTAACATGGAAGGAGATAAGGCACCTTTTCCAGGCCTTGGTCCTGGCTTGGAATTCAAACAAGTAAGAGTCTGAACAGGTCTTCCCTTCTGCTTTCAGCCCCATCCCTTCTGATTGCAGCTCCCAGAGCTCAGGCCTTAGAGTCTTCCATTTTCCCATGCTGGGTGCTCGGCAGTCCCTTCCCATAGTCTTCTGTACCCTCAGTGGCAGGGTGGGTTTGGGCTGAACTGATTGGATCAGGAGGCTTTGCCTCACCTTGTGATGGACGTTTCCGTTCTCTTGCTCATGGGGAGCACTTTGGGCGTCCTCCATGCTGCTCTTCCAATCGAGGCCTCATATTTGTTTATATCTGCATGAACAGGAGAGATGAGATGAAAGAGAAAGTAAGCCGCAGCTTAATAAGCTTCTGCCTTTCATGCGTACTGGCCATAATTAGGGTTCCCTTTAACTTCGTGGGCAGGCTCTAACAAGCCAGGATAGTATGGAAAATAAAGTGTTTCTGCCACATGTGGCCGCTTTACAAAGCATCGAACCACACGGGCCACCGTCTCTCTAAGAACCTCAGGACAACCCTAGCAGGCATTTGAGGGAAACATCCCCATTATGTTCAGCGATGCAGAGACCGAGGAGTCCACCAAGGTCTTAGAGCTGAGTGTGCAGAGAAACCAAGAATGTCCGGGGACTTCAGGTTCTCAGCCTCGAGCACTTTCTGCGCCCGTAAATCACAGTCCATTTCTTAATGACCTTCCAGAAAGAACCAGCCTGGGAGAGCTGCGGTGCCCAGAAAGGCCAGCTAGCCCCACAAACCTGGCTTCAGTTTCAGGTTCTGGCAGGACTGGGTCCTCACTTCAAATGAGAACACCTGCCTCTCAAGGTAGCTGAGAGGTGAGCTACAGTGCCCTGTGCCCAAGGCTGGCCTCCAATCCAGATCACCACATTTTCCCCCTCCCTTTCTGCATTTCTGCCTCTCCCAGGCTCCGTTCAAGCCTAGCCTGGAGAATGTAGGTGAACCAAGATAAATCACACTGTCCAGTCCTGTTCCCCTCCTCCAGGGCAGGCACAGCAGGACAGACCCCTGGATCCCTCCACTTTTAGTACCACTTCCAGCTTCCAACCTTTCTCCTGTATGATGCCTCTTAAAGTGGAAGTACTTTCCCAGACACTGTATAAGGTTACCAGGGCCCCAGGGGGTGGCTCTTCATGTATACCATCCAGCCCAGGTCCAGGCTTGGCCAACTCCTTCTTAGGAACCCAGAAAGGCCCCAAGGACAGTCGCCCAGTCACCAGCACACCAGCCTCTTGCCAGCCACTGACTCAATCACTGACCTATGAACCTTCCATGTCCACCACCACCAGACACCAGGCAGAAACTACACCGGACTTAGCCACTCTGATTGTGATTTGTTCCAGAGGCATTGATTTCATAGTTGCGTTTGTCCACACACCCCAGGCAGAGGGGGCAGGTGACTTTGATTTCTGACATTTAGGAGGCACCTGTTGCTCAGCCTTGGTTCAGAGGATTCTGTATCTCAGCCCGCTTTGCCCAACGGGTGTGTCCAAAGCCCTCTATAGTGGCTCATATCCCCTGAGAAACACTTCCCAAGCGCCATGCTCTGACTAGCTTGAATCTCCAGGTATTACTCCCAAGGAATCAGAGAAAGCTGGGGCCGGGGAATCACACACAGGAGAGGACAGGATCCACATGCAGCCACCATTCTGATGGTGTATTAGTCAGACTGGAGGAGAATACTCACAAACTCATAGGACTTGAGGAAAATACTATCGTGCGTGGGTTAGGACCAGACTAGAGCTACGGAGACACACGGGGACAACAGAGGAAAGGTTAGCAGGTCTGGGGTGGGATGGGAGTCCAGTAGCACATCAAGGGGCAGGAGCTGCTTCGGGGTTCCTGGGGCTTAGAATGGACCAGCACAAATGAGTACAGAGTAACTGAGCACTGGGTGGAGGCCCAGAAGTGAGGTTAGGAGCAGGGCTTCCACTGCCAGAAAACTAACCCACTGCTTCTGCTCCGGGACGCCTTCCAGGCCAGGATCTCTTTGTACACCAACCTGCAGAGGAGCTGTGGGGCGTGCAAAGCAGAGGGAGAAGACACTGTGATCTGGGCCCAGCTGAGGAAAACAGCGCTCCCCACAGGAAGGCATTCCAAGCAAAGGGCAGCTGCCATCTGCTCACCGTCTTAGAAGCCCTCGTGTTTTATGCCCAAGTTCCAGTCTGTAGACATAAAGCATTCCCCAGTGGCCATCTGTGTGCCCCAAGAACGCTTACCAAGCAAGCCAGGATGTCAGCAGAAATGAGCATGTAGAAGACGTTGTTCCAGCCCGTGGGGGAAATCAGCCCGGCCAGGAGGGGCCCCAGAGCAGCACCTGTACACGACAGTCTCATGAAATAGGATACATACCTTCCCTGACCACCGTGGGCAGTGCACCCAGGGGCCCACCCAAGTCAAGGCTGGGGTTCAATTGGCAGGAGCCCAAACCCGGAACAAACCTATGGAGCCGGTCCCGTCGATGATGGCTGTGACTGTGGAGAGGGCCTTGGCGTTACCCTTCAGGCTCTCATGTGTGCCCTGGGGAGACAGAGTAGGGTGGGATGAGCAGAACCCAAGCTGAGCAGAACCTCTGGGTAAAAGTAGCGCTGGGAGAAAGCTAACAAGGAAGGTAGTGATGGGGGTCTGGGGTTGAAAGGAAAGAGCCCGTGAGGGTTCTGCAGCACAACAGACAGGAAAGGGAGAGGGGGAACTGAACTTGTAGACAGAGCCCCTGACCAAGCCCTTAGACCAGCCTGATAGCCAGGAGTAGCCCACTCACCAGGTCAGCAGAGACCGCTGTGGTGATCAGCGCATACGGGCCATTGACCAGGACCCCACAGATAATCAGCATCACTGGGAAGATAGCAGAGACGGTATTCTTAGAGAAGAGGGACTGTGTGCACACAGTGTGTCCAGAGCAAGTGTGTCACAGCATGTCACACTCCCTGGCCCTAATCCAGCACCCACTTCATGGAGCTCCCCGGGTAGAGCCTCTCTAGCGACTGTGTGGGGTTCACAGCTCCTCCTCACCTATGGAGCTGGCTATTCCATTCTGGCCAATGTAGTTGTACAAGAACATCTGAAATAGGAAGGAGACAGTTGAAGCCAATTTCCTCTCGCTGAGCTAGACCAGAGTCTGCAACAGCTGTCTGCTCTAGAAGGCCACATACCACTTGTTCTTCCCGCCATATGCATCCAGTCTTCTCAAGTCTTTGTCCTAGACATGGATGGTCTAACCATGGTCATCTCGAATTTCTTTTTCATTTTTTGTTTGTTTGTTTCGAGATGCGTGTCATGCAACACAGGCTGTCCTGAAACTCACTCCGTAGCTGAGGAAGACCTTGAACTCCTGATTCTCCTGCCTCGACCTCCCAAGCACTGGGACTACAGGCATGTACCACTGGGTATGGCTCTATAATTTCCCCTTCCCCCCAAAGTCTTCTCTGGTGTCTGTCCTTGATCTCTTTATTATTCCTTGATCAAAACATGCAGCACCTAATACCCCTCCTTTCACGGGACCTGGTCCTCCGCTGGCTCTCACTTCTCTTTCTCCACGTGTACCCAGGAAACACACGCACACATGTACAAAGAGACAGCTGTGCATGCCAACGTGGAGACGGACACACAGGCGTGAGGCCCCAGATATCTGATCACAAGCACATGCGCACTGAGATTATACACGTACCATGGGAGCAGCCAAGATGAGCATGATGCAGCAAGTGGTGGCCCTGCCATTGGTGTAGTCACTGATGAGCCCCGCCATGATGCCACCTGGAACACATGCTCACTCACACATTGTCCCTGACACAGCCACGCTGCTCCTCGTCTGCTGCCCAATTTTCCCATCACCCTGCCACATGCTGGCCTGGCCTCAAGAAAGACCATCTCTCTCTGCAGCCTTCCCCTGTACCCATCACTCCAGGAAACCAAAGCATAAAGACCGCCTTTCTTAGTCCCACCCCGCCTTGCAGGAGCAAAAATGAGAATACACCAGGAGGTCTTTCTTCTCTGGATCCACCGCCCAGATCATGGCCCGCTGTCCCTCCTTTCTGCACCTCTGCATAGGAACAAGCAGGAAAGACAGCCTGCCAGAACAAAAGGATGGGGCCTCACCTATGATGCCACCGGCGTCAAAGAGTGTGGATAGGTCCCCAGCCTCCTTGGCACTAAAGTGAGCTATGACAAAAACACACACACACACAAAACATGATCAGATACTCAGGGAGGCTCGGAGCAAAGCTCCTGTATACCATAGCTGGAAGAGTCTCTGTGGGATACTGGTCCAGCCCAAAGAAGAAGCTGAGGGCCCATGACCAAGTGATTGGCCAGGGCCAGTGTGAGTTTGCAGTAGCTTGGGATATACTCCTTCAGGCTCTGAGTCCCACAATACCCTCTTCTGGCCTAGACCTTTCAGAGCAAGGTACCAATCCTGGTGTGCCTCCAGCTCTTTCTCCTGGCATGTAAGGTTCTGACTGAGCTTTGGCCTAGCCAGCCATTTCTTTGACTCACTCCTGACCTAGAAGCAAGTTCCATAAGGGCTCTTCCTAGGCAGAGCCACAGGAATATGCTAATGCCCACAGCCACAGGAAGAGACTGGCGGCAGGAACATGGGGGCCCTGGGTTTAAAAAAGGGAACATTTGGAAGCTTGACTGGTAACTCCACCCTCAAGGCTGATTCATACTCTGAAGTCAGCATCAAAGCCACCAAACAAAGGGTCACAATGCCTACAAAACTGCCCTCCTACTCTGCTGGTATCAGAGAGAGGGGCCCCCGTGTAGAACTATGGGGCAAGCTACAGTTCAAGATCTGGTGGTGACTAATCCCCACGGTTTCCTGGTCTCCCATTCAAAATCAATGTGTGTGGGGCAGGACAGCCATTGTTCCTTTTCAGAGTTGAGAAAGGGTGAAACAGCCCTGGGCGAAAGGTCCTGGGTAAGGGGTGGAGCCCTCAGAATCCTGGGGGTCAGGAAAGTGGATCACACTGCTTTTCGGTGTGTTACCCCCCAATCAGTGGAAAGCAGAGACTGAGCAGGTGGAGAGCAAACAGCCCTTCCAGCCACCACAGTGACCTCTTCCATCCTTACGTCCTTGGGTGGTGGCACTGGAGAGTGGCCATTGCATGGGGGCAGGTCCCCCAGAGTAGAAGACTCCAGTACAAAGACATCACTCTCATGAAGGCCCTTGGAAGAAGAGCCTTGGAGGCCATGGAGTAGGAAGGCCCCATACAGCCTCTTCCTTAAGGTGGAGGAGTTCCAGGCAGACTCCGCCCACCTTTGGGCCAAGCAGCCAATACAGGACAGAACTTTGTGCTCCTAAGGTCCAACTCAGCTCCTAGGGGGCCGGTGGCTGGAGAAAGTGCCTGGGGCTCAGCATCCTACTTACTGGAATAAGCAAGCAAATCTCCCACCCAAAGAGAGGCCCAGCTTTGCTTAGGTTGTTTACCAGAGTCAAACTGAGGCACGGTGCCCTCTCTGCCCCAGCAGAGACCCTGTTTCTCAGCTCTTCTTCCCCTGGGACTCACCCACATTGAAGATGTACAAGGGCAGCCAGTAGAGGAAGGTGTAACTGACTAACTTGGCAAAGAGCAGACATAGCGAGAACTCGATCACACCCTGGGCAGCACAAGAGAGGACACAATGAAAAGGTGCTCGAGAGATCCCCAGTCCAGTGGAGGTCCCACCGGTGTACAGCACTACCCCATGACTGTCATCACTTCCATACATAGCAACCCCAAATATACACCCCATCCTAATGGCAGCAATGTGCCTACTGCCTCATGCCATGTCAAGACAGCCCTCCTATACTGCCCTTCCCAAGGGGCCATCCTACAGTCTGTACAGAAATTCTCAACGCTACCCTATCCCCTGATATCTAATGGAAACTCTAGACAGACCCTCCTCCCTTCATCCCACAAACATCTCACCGGAATTTTGAGTGCCCCCAGAAAACTGATGGCTGCAGGCTCGGAGCCTGGCTCCTTGAAGGAGCTGGCTGCAATGTCCACATTACTCTCCCTACAGGAATAGGGACCATTCACAGGATCCTCAGGGTTGTCCCGTTCCTTCTCCTGGTCATCCTGAGCAAAGAAAAAGATCCCTCCTTGTGGGCAGGGCCACTTACCAACCTTCTCTAATGGGAAGAACGGCCCAGGTGAGAGGTAGGGGGCGCCCATCCTGGGGTTAGGTGTTTGTTTCTTTCTTGGGCTGGCAGGCCCACCAAGTTGTGGGCCCTCCCATGGCCAGTTCTTGTGAGGAGGACAGGGCTAGGGCTGGAATGATCTACTCACATGGTGCTGAGGAGGGGTGCAGTCCACATCTTCTGGATCTGGGGGGTTGGGGGGACAAATACCTTTCTGAGAAGCTTGCCAACAGTTTAGCCCCTCACTTTACAGTGGGTCTAAACTAATGTAGAGTTATCCCTACATGCCCCACATGGGCCCCAGCATAAAGGGAGCAGGCTTCCTAGGCCAGCCTGCCTCTTCTACGAACTGTTATGACTGCTCTTGACCTGGTAGCGATACACCTGGTCTTGTCAACTCAGGGCTGTCAGAGAATGGAAAAAAACAGCAGCCGTCTAAATGTAAGAGGCACAACCCTTCAGCAGAGCGAGCACCCACTACAGACAAAACATTTAAACTACAATGTCCCTCTCTTCAGAAATCCTTGGGAGCAAGTACTTTTCTCACTTTATAGATGAAAAGGGCAGTTTCAGGGTCACAGAGCTCATTACCCAATACCCTGAACAGCAATGCTCACAGAATGTCTGCTTTCTCCCACAAACGTACGTTAGAGCATGGGTGTGGAAGGGTCCACTCACATTCAATAAGAAAGAGGAAAGTGATGATGCCCATGGCAGCGGTGATAACACCAGGCACGATGAATGACAGGCCCCACTGCTGGTTCACCCAGACTCCGGCGATCAGGGAGCCCAGGATGTTACCCACAGACGTGTGGGAGTTCCAGATGCCCATGATAAATCCCCGCCTGAAGAAAAGGGGAGGAAAAGGGATAAAAATGGGGGAAAATACCCCGCCCAGCCAAGCCCAGAAGACTGGCTGCCTCTAGCCTCCAGCATGTGCTGGAGATTCTCAGAGACCCCAAAGACAGTGCAGAAAAAGCTTTGGGCTGAGTTCCGGTGCGTTAGCCAGTTCCCCAGGCAAGCACAGTCGGGAACTCTGAGCACGGGGAAGTCATGAACCTTTCATTCTTCTCCTTGACCCCTATCGGTGTCACCCTAAACAGGAGTCTTCAACTGGGGGTGACTCTATCCCACAGGGGACATCTGGAAACATCTGGAGATTTTCAATGCCCCTGACTTGAGTTTTGCTACTAAAATCTAGTTTTGCACACTGCAAAAACAGTGTGTGGGGGCAGCCCCCGTAGCAAAGAACTGAACAGCTCAGACCAACAGTGCTGAAGGTGAAAACAGGCAATCTTACACAAAAGCCGGTCCAAAAATTTTACCTTTAATCAAAAAATTGAAATAAACCTGTTATGAGAAGCATGTCGGCTCTATGGGTTAAATCCCAAAGATGAGGAAAATAGCACTGCCCTTTAGCCCCAGAGATGTTTCTTCTCAGTGGGTGAGACCCGGCAAGAAGACACATTTTCTAATATTTCCTCCTGAAAGTACTCCGGACACCTCCCCTGTACCCCCGGGTCCTTCCCACCCCTTCATCACACTTACTTTCCCTTCCCAAACCAGTTGCCGACACAGGTCACCACGGACGGCCAGCCTGTGGTCTGAACAAGCCCATTGCAGACCTGTAGAAGGCAGGGGAGGTAAGAGTGAGCTCAGCCATCCTGAGTGGAGGAGGCTCAGTGTCATGGCTGAGACGTGGGAAGACAGCAGGAGCCTGGGACTGAAGCAAGGAGACCACGTCCCTGTCTGCTCTGACCTGGGGATGGCCAGGGACCTCAAGGGGTCTCTCTTTGAGGGACACAAAGACTCGAGTGCAAGACAGACTCATACCTGGATAAGCACAAAGTACCAGAGCATGTGGATATCCCAGAAGTAGCCCAGACCAAAGAGGGAGGTGAACAGGCCGCTGAGCACCATTCCAGCTGAGAGGTAGTAACGGAGGGGCAGCCGCTCCCCAAAGATTCCACTGGAGAAAAAGACAGGGGTGAGCTCCAGGTTAACGCCATGTCCACTCTACCACCTCCCCTCCTACCTGTGTTGCCGAAGCCACTGTGGCCGTGGTGAGCAGTGATGATCCGTGTCCTACTGCATTCCAAGACCGACCCCAGCCCTCACTTTCAAGGCTCCTCTGCTTTATCTGACACTCCTTTGACAATTCTGCTGCCATGTCCCTCCCTGCTGGCTGACCAAGCCTTTTTTATTTATTTATTTATTTATTTATTTATTTATTTATTTATTTATTTATTTTTCAGCGCATCCCCTGCTGTTTGGTTTCGGTTCCCACGTATCCCTTCATGGTTTAGTGTCATATTCAGATTGCCTTTCGGGTACCACGACTCGGACTTCCCTAAAGCAGTGGAAGCTCAACACTAAATTCTAAATTCTCCTTCCTCCTTTCATCAAAGAGGCCTCTGAAACATCAGCAGCCCCGACGTTCAGCTCCTTAGGGTGGTGAGAGCTTATAACCTTGCTATATATAACCTGTCTTGTCCACCTCAGCTTCTCCCTCACACCTAGGTAAACTCCTCCCTCGGTTCTCCCTTTCCATAGCCTGGAGCAGGCCCTCTGCAAATGACCTTTGCGAATAGCCCTGTCTCTTGCTATTGCGTCCCTTGAAGTTCCCCTTCAGGTAACCCTGTGAAGGTTCCGCCTGCACACCAAGCTGTTCCCTCCAGCCTGAATGTCCTTCCCCAAGGCCATGTCCACGGCTCTTCACACTTCAGAGCTCACCTGTAAAGCCTTCCCTAAACTCCTTGTCTTCAATCCCAGCACACTGCCTGATTACCCAGCCTTCAGCCATTTTCAATCCTCTGCTGAGATAAGGGTCTTTCTACTAGGCCGTGAACTCCACCGAGGTCACATCCTGCCTTGTCCATCTGGGATTTCTGACAGCAGGCTCTGCTGCTGGGTGAGACCCACACTGGCTGTGTGATTTAGACAGCACTGGGTAGGCTCTCCTTTGGAATCTGCATGTCCAGGGCTTAGAGGACCCTGGTCCATACCCACCAATGCTTCCTGTCCACCAGCAGCAGGTGAAGGAACACTGTGGTGACCACAGTGAAGGAAGGAGGCTGGCCGTGGGCTAATGGACTGGGTGGGGCCTTGGCTTCACGCCTACACTTAGGCACTATCAGCTTTCCTGCCCCAGGTCAGCAAGAGAAGCAGCAGTCAGGAAGCATCTACCCCACCCCCACCCCCAAATGGGCACAGGCTCTGCCTTTCTCTTACCTAATAAACATGCCAATGGCATAAGCCACTAGGAAGGCGTTGTCCACAGCTCCCAATAACTCTGTGTAGTCGTCTTTGTCTGAAAGCAGATGGGAAAGACAAAAAGTTGGCTGGGTGGCTGACCCCACAGGAGCCCCTTTCTTTCTCCAGGAGGGATTGGGGAGTAGAGAGCAGCCATGTACCCGGTTCTTACCAAACGGACTCCAGCTGCACCAGGTAGTATCGTTGGGATCGTGGGTGTCATTTTCAGGTCTCACCAGCGCTGAGCAGTTCTGGTGCAGGCGGCTCTGGAAGGCAACGGCACACATTGGTCAAGGATCATATTGTTCCCTGGAGCCCACTCGGCCCAGAGAGAAGCAAGCAAGGTGCTATTCGGTCCCAAGCGGCACTGCTTCTCCCACCACAGTCCATGCTCCCTTCCGCCGGCACCTCCTCCAGCAGAGCCTAAGACCTCTGCCTTCTCAGCCCCGCCCCCCTCCCCCACCAAACAATGCTGCTGTCTGGAAGGTGAAAAGGAGGATGTGTAGGAAAACATTGCAGGAGGATTGTAGGAAAGAACCACCAACAGTCGGTATCTGGCAGGTGGAGGGAACAGTCCCAGTGACCAGGGAAAGGGAACTTGGAAGGTGACAACCTGAGGTCTGGAACATCCGATTGCGGCCCACGTGTCTGCCAGGTCCAACATGCCCTGCAGAATGCTCGCCCTTCCCAGCCAGCCTCACCTTAACAATGCTGATGGGCTTTCTGGACATGTGATAACAGACATAGACAAGGAAGGTGATCAGCAGGGTGAAGCCACGGAACCTGGAGGAGAGAGGGGCAGCACAGTCTGCAGAGGCCCAGCCACTGCTCCTTCAAGGCCTTAGCACCAACGGTTTACCTTCAAGCTCTCTTCTAGACCCAAGCTCCCAGGGCAAAGGTCAGAAGTGTCTACAAGCAAACCTTCTTTCCAACCCTTAGCCCTTCTAGGGTCTTATTGCAGCAAGGCTGTCTCTGTGTCTGGATATGTGGAGCAACTATGGCCACAGGGAATTGAGTCATTTTCTTTTCTTTTTTAAAACATTTATTTATTTATTTATTCATTTATGTGTACAATATTCTGTTGTGTGTACGCCTGCAGGCCAGAAGAGAGCACCAGACCTCATTACAGGTGGTTGTGAGCTACCATGTGGATGCTGAGAACTGAACTCAGGACCTTTGGAAGAGCAGGCAGTGCTCTTAACCACTGAGCCATCTCTCCAGCCCTTGAGTCACTTTCTAAACATCTGAAATGATGGGCATGGCGTAGAGTTAAAGGGGAGAGGGGTCTTTCTACAGAGTGAGGTCCAATTTCCGTTGCAGACTTGGTCCAGACTATGGGAAGAAATGGCTCAGCTGGGACAGCTGGTGACAATGACTGAGTCCTCTCCCTCATGGTCCCTGGCTCATGGTCAGTTCCACTCCACAGAAAGGTGATGGATGGCTTCCTCTGTGGCTCACACACCCCATGTGACCTCCCCGGACCTACTTCTTAGCTCATGTGCTGTCCAGATGGAAAGAGCAGTCTAATCAAGAGTTGCTCCAAGTTTCCACCTCGCTATAACCGCTGCACCCCCCCCCCCCCGTGGGGCCTAGGGAGGATCCTGCAGGGCACTCCTGAGTCACTCTTTCCCCAGCAAGGCATCAGCTGAGCTGACTCAGCAACCAGGAACCAGAAGGTATATGGAAAAACTAGACCTCAGAATGGGGGGCTAAGGGGACAGACAGCTCAGTGGTAGAACACATGATTAGTACGCTCGAGGCCCTGAGTTCTAGCCCACCCACCAACAAACCAACCTGAAAGAAAATGTCAGATGTTAGGAGAAGACTCATGCCTCTGCTCACTAAAGAGAAGGGCTGGGGAGCAGGGCGAGCAGGCCCTGGAGCCCTCCTCTCCCTTGGCTCCATGAACCTAGGGCAGACACTTTGGATGCTCACCCTGCCCTATCTGGTAATCTGTCTCCAGACTCTAAACTCACTTCCCCCAAGCAGGTAATTAAGCAATGCGGGCCACCGCTTGTGAAACAAAAGGTGTTTCTGCAAAACCTTAATTGAGCCGAGCTGCCAAACCCTGCCTCACTTCGCCCTGGACTTCAGCTTCCTACCAAGACGTCAGTTTCTATTCTTTCCACGGCTCTGTATTTTTTCTTTGAAACCTTGGATGGTGGTGCACACCTGTTGTGACAGCACCCAGGAGGCTGAGGCAGGAGGACTGGGAATCTGAGGCCAGCCTGAGCTACATAATGAGACCTAATCTCAAAGCACCTCCTTGGTTACTTGTTTCCGAGACACCTGTATCAATCACAGAGGTCTTCTAGGGACCCAGATGCCTGCCTGACCCAGTGACTGACATCAAAAAGCTTGATGACACTGAAATTTTTCCAGGTCTACCAATTATATATATTTGTATATATACATATATACACATAATTATATATATATGTTATACACACACACACATACACACATACGTATAGCTGATTCCTAGTTCAGGGATTTCTAGAATTCTCTGTTAGAGACAGGACTCAGCTAGCCTAGGCAAAGAGCAATGGATGGATGGGAACTTCAACCCTATAGTTAACTGGGCTGTTGCCTAATCCAGGGGAAAGCAGACAGCACTGAGTGTCACCTCCCACTCACTCACCTGGTTAGTCTTCTGCTTATGGCTTCTTCAATTGTACGTGATGGTAATATCAGCCCTAACTCGCTCACTCTCATCATAGTCCCTGGGTACCTGTGCTTTCACCTTTAAGTGCCACACAGCTCAGCTTCTGTGACTACTATCTTGACTGACCACATAGAGGTGCTGGGGTCCTTGCCAGGATGTGTGGCCACAGTCACAACATATCAGATCCTTTCTGGTTCTGAATGACCTTTGGGAACTCAAGTCCCACTGTTTCCCCTGAGAGCCCAGCAGTGATGGCTGCTCAATAACAGACCCTACTGTTACCTGGGTGGTGTGGGAGGTCCTTCTGTCTATGTGTTGCTTTTATTGGTTAATGAATAAAGAAACTGCCTTGGTCTATAGCAAGGCAGAACTTAGCTAGGCGGGGAAAGCTTAACTGAATGCTGGGAGAAAGAAGGCAGAGTCAAAGAGAAGCCATGTAGCCCCGCTGGAGACAGATGCTGGAACTTTACTCATGGCAATACACAGATTAATAGAAATGGGTTAAATTAATAAGAGTTAGCCAATAAGAAGCTAGAGCTAATAGGCCAAGCAGTGTTGGAAATAATATGGTTTCTGTGTGATTATTTCTGGTGTCTGGGTGGCCAGGAAATGAACAAGCAGCCTCCTACAACACATGGAAAGTAAGGCTGCACCTCAGTAGACACTCTAGATGCCTCATGAGATGGACGGAACCAAAGCGGCGCTAGAGGAACAAACCAGGTGTCTGAATCCTTCCCCTTTCACCTCGACCCCAGTGTCCACACTACTTTCCTCCCACACACCAGGAGCTTCCCATCTTTCTCTGAGTTCCCAGGTGTTCATCCTTCTCCGCTCAATGCCTCTTTCATCTAGAGTTTCATCCCTCCCGACTATGGGTAGGAAAAGCCATTGCAGAGAAGAGACATCTCCATGCCCAAACCTAACACCCTGATGTTCTTAGAAAAAAAACAAGACTGCTGTATCCATCCAAGCGCCTACCATGTCACAGGCACCACACCAGGGAACTGACAACTGCAAGAGAAATGGGAAGGAAGATTCTGCTTTCTGGACTTCAACGGGTCAGTGGGGGAAACAGACAGAGAGGAGGGGACTGTGCCATAAAAGCAGGAAGCCATGTGTGACAAGGGAGTACAGGCAGACACGAAACCATTGGGATGGAAGCGGTGTCAGGCAAAGGAGCTGTGGTTTCAAAATCATGCAGGAGATGGCTAAGTCAACCAAGGCTTGGCAGGGGGATGTGCCAGGGAGCAAATACTGGGGAAGGCACAGAAGGGTGAAATAACAGTGCTGGCTTGGGAACACCGCATGGCTTCAGATATCTGGAAGGGGAGACCAAGTCAAGTGGAGAAGGAAAAGTGGCTGAATGAGGTAGGGCCTAGGCCAGGTAGGGCCCTGTGTGCCAAGAAGTCGAGTTTTGGGCCCTCTCTTGAGAAGGATTCGAAGCCATCAGAAGGGCTGGGCTTCCCTAGGCAACGGTGCTGTGGACATGAGCCAGGTAAAGCCAGGGCAAAGCCCCATGTGGGTTTCCTCACCACAAGATGGTGCCAGCCTGTGCCTTCCCATCCTGTCAACCTCACAGGATGCCCTCGATTTCAAGCTCATGTCTATAGGGACAAAAAGTAAGGACTTAGACAGGCAAAGATAGCTCTCTTCCCTAAACCTGTTTACTCCTCTGAGAAGTACTTCTTCTACCTTGTTCCCAGAACTGCTGACAGGTGTTCACTACAGATCTTATAGCATTCCCGACTCCTAGAGTATGCTTAAAAATGGCGGATACTGTTTTAGATTAGCTCATGAAAAAGAGCAGGAAGGACTAGAGGCAGCTCTTGCTATTACAAGGGGATTTCTGGGCCTTTATTTGCCTGACAGAACTTAGGAGGCCATCAGTCCCTCCTCCCTACCTCTCCAGGATACCTACCTGGGTCTCCTAAGACACTAAGACTTGGGGTTGCTTGTGCCCTGCCTTGCTTAGGGTGGGTGGAAGAGAGTCTGCAATCATACAGGGAAGCTGGGTAGCTGAGGTCTTCTGGGGGGCAGACAGGAGATCAACCAGTCCACACTGGCATCTGATCTGTGATTTTTATTTTCAGACCCGCCCAGCCTGTATCCCCACCTCCAACAAAATAACCGGACCTCTAATTCAGCAGGAAGGACAGGACCTTTGAGAGTCAGGGTTCCTCAGCTGTGTTGCCTGGTGTTAGCCTGACACTGGTCTCCTCTGGGACTTCCTGCCTGGCCTCCAAAAGGGTGGAAGGTTAAGCTCCAAGTCCCAACACTGACTGGGCCCCAGCCTACTTGGAGCCAGGCCTCCAACTAGCCAGGCTCCATTCAGGTATTCATGAAAGGGCCCCAGGTGCTGTCATTCAAAGAGGCCCAGAAACAGGAGGTTTAAGGGTGGAGCTAGACTTGAAGCTGCAGAACTCAGGCTCATTCACAGGCCAGACAGCTGAGGACTCTGGGCAGGGCAGGACCTGAAGGTTTCACTTCTCATAACTCCTTCCCTCACGACCAAGAAGCCCCACAGAGGACGCAGGGAGAAGACTTGCAGAGTCACGAGGCAGGAGATGGCCGTCCTGGTGTAGAACTGGGCAGGGCAAGCAGGCCAGGGGCCACGGAACATAGACCACTCCATGTGGGGGTAGCTGCCCCATGACCTTCTAAGGCTTTTTTTGGGTAGGGGGGTGGCACTTCTTAGAGTCCCACCTCCTCTACCACCAGACAGTGGTTACTGAATAACCAAGTCAGATAGAGTGGGACCAGCTATCTCTTAATTATTAGCTGACAACCCAATTCTTTCCCAGGACCTTGATAATAGCTTTATCAACTTCATTAAGACTTTGCACTAAGAGTGATTCTGGGCTAGGAACAGAGAACAAGGTGTCCCACGGTAGCAGGAGATAATGAACAAACACCACCCTTAATTAATTATTCTCCTCACCATCACCGCAAGCCAACAAGACCCCAAGAGCAGCCTCCGATCTCGGGAGAGGTGGAAACGGGCCCTCTCCTCTCTTATCACTGCTCCCTGACTCCTCCTTTGCTCCACAGCTACTTCTCTGTCAGCCCCGACCATGGCTTCGATCACCACCCCTGCTTCAACCTGGGACAACCCCGAAGA